CCCCCCATGGTTGCCTTACAGACACATATGGCTTAGGAATCCCCTTAGCAGTAGTGTCCGTCCCAATGAAATTCCTTAGGATAGGTCCCTTGTGATAGATGATTTAGGGACGTAAGGTGAGGATAACGGGAATGGGTAATCGGGTTTAATGATTGTTGAAAATAATAAACTTATTTATTGTGGGTTGAAAACCCTATATGCTCACCAGGCTCCCCAACATGACCCACTCAGTTTCTTGTATTACAGGTAGTGGCAAAAGCATAGTTGGATGACTTGACGAGAGATTATGGAGTTGAGGCCAAATTATGTTTTGTGGTCTAGGATGTTTATTTCTTTTTGGTTTATGCTTATGGTCTGTATCGATGATTGACATCCCGAGTTTTTGTAATGTAATGAAAATACATTTCTTTAAGAAATGCTTTGATAAATTTATATCATATTTTGTTTTGGGAACAAATTCCACAATACTTTTCTTAAGAAGTTACTCTGATCTTTATTAAAAAGCATAAACGAAATCGGTCTTTCTGGCCGTGAAAATGGGGATGTCACACACACAGACATTCCATCTTGGTGTTTGCATGCCAATAGGGCTTGAGTAACCTTGAACTTTTCAAGTTGACGAAAACATGGGTCAGGGAGAATCACTAGAGGAGGTGGAGGAAGAGAAGTATGATTTCCAGTTCCACCTTTGCACGAAGAAGGATTGATCTTTCACCTTGATCAACATGTGAAATATCATCTTCAAAAAGGAAAGCCTTTTCCAAAGGATTGAGGAAGACCATAGTTGTCAGAACTAGACATCTACAAAAATGAGAAATTCAAGTTAGTTGATTTAATCCTTAATATGACACCCAAATGAAATATTAAGGCTAGGACCCAAAACAATAATTCACAATTCGGAAGAGGGATGCCGTAACCCAATTGTAAATTATTTGAAGGTAGGTAAATGACGATTTACCAATTCCACCATGAAAACAAAATTTTAACGAATTAGGTTTTAGATGAAACTCCTAGATCTTTTAAGATTCATTGAACTTTTCAATGACATGTTTAATCTTGATTATGCCCTTCAAGTTTGTGACTGGGATATCGAGTATCACAAACAAGGTGTGAATAACCATGCGAATTAGCTTGGTACTCTCGATGTCATTTATCACCTAATCAATGTGCCGATTAACCGCACACGCTCCATTGATCAATAATAATTTACGATAAACCCATCACCATCCTTCACTAGTCCACATTAGTGTGCCGGTTAACCATACACGCTCCACTAACGACCAATAATGTGCAATGTGCAATTTCATGGGTTAGCATCAAATTCATATTTTCCTAAAGTAACTAAGATTTGGGAATTTATAAAACATTTAGTTACTTTGTATTTTCACTATACTTTTAATGAGATTTAATGTCCTATCAAACCCGTTCTACTAACGACCCTCCACTAGTCAAGGGTGCGGTGGGTAAGAGTGGATACCCAATGACGGTCATTTTATAGGCCGCTTCCTTAAACAGCAATTATAGACAAGCTTCGTGAATGAGACCTACTAACGGTAAGACTGACATTTTCTTATACATACATATATATATATATATATATATATATATATATTATATATATATATATATATATATATATAATAGTATAAGGGTGTATTTTAAACTTTTAAAATACTAGGTGGTTTAATCTTTTAATAAATTAAGCTTTTAATTTAATTAATTTTAAACCATGTCAAGGAATTATTAATTGTCTCTTAATTAATCTTTTAATTAAATTATTAATAAAACCATGTGGGTGTATTTTTAAACTTTTAAAACATTAGGGTTTTAGAATTTAATATTTCATAATTAAAACTCTTAATCAAATTTTAAATTCCAAAACTTGAGGGAAAGTTTTGAAACTATTCAAAACTTCTAGATCAAATTTTAAAATAATTAAATTAATCATATAATTTATCATTATTCAAAATTTGACCTTTTTTATTTTACTTGGTAAGAAAATTCAAATCAAATTTTACAAATAATTAATTTATCACAAAATCTCATAATTATCTTAAAATTTGACAATTATCTTTCAGTTAGACGAGGATATACATTACTATATTAAAAAATTCAAATTTAATCATTAAAAACAACTTATGGTAATTATCCAAATCTAATTTAGGCCAAAAATCCGAAAATCTGCCAACTGACAGGTCTCCACGTCGTGTCAGGCCATAACACATCTTGGAAGATCAACACGTCGTGTTCAACTATGAACGCGTCGTGTTCATCAGGCAGAGTCCAAAAACGATTTTCTTCCGGCTTTGAACTAATCACAAATGCATCAATTATAACAGAAAAACGCCATAGGCTCTGATACCACTGATGAGTTTTGAGCATTACAATATTCCTATGATGCATATGCAACCCTAATGCTTTGGATCTAGGTTTTTCTCAAGTTATACATGCAAATTAATTATCCAAAACAAAACCCTAGATCTAGCATACATAATTTCGAAATTCATATATACAAAAGGGTTGGAAGATTACCTCACGTGTTATATTGTAATAACAAGAACAATCCTTGACTCTTGAAAGCTTAGTGCCCCAAGTGTTGCACCTCTAATGGAGTCACAAACACCCAATGCAAAGAATGAATTAGAGAGAGGTGGAAAATCGGCTAGGGCAACTCCTAAGAAGCATAGGGACGATCTCCTTAGGGTTTAGAGGGTTTATATAAGGCTAGGTTGCTTAACCTTCAAGCTGGACTTGAATAAGGAAATCCTAGTTCCTAACTTAAGCCCAAAGCAACCCATGGACCTCCATAAGATACCTTGGACGAAATCTTGTGAGCCCAAGCTATAAATTTCGTCCACCGCCATCAAGGAGTTCCAAGGCCCAGTTTCACAACTAGCAATGATTTGCAAAACAACCCCTCCATTATTAATCAGTTCCTTTAATCCCAAAATTAATATCAAATTAATTTATGATTAATTACTAATTAATAATATGATTTCCAAATAATATATTAATCTTGTAATATATTAAGAAAATCATTTTGAGGACCAATTTATTATTCATATAATAAATCCTACTCTCTCTCCACTTGTCATCCTGTCAAGTTGCATGAGTGAAGGCAACCCAAAATGACCAATGCTACATATCAAATCAAGTACATACCAAATATAGTTATGGGCTTAGACACCTAATCCAACAACAAAGCTAATTCGTGGATCGAGGAGACCAATCGAAACCAAATAGAGAACACAGAGGAGTACAAAGGCGTGCAGATCGATTGTAAGCACCGACGACGGGAATTCGAGGATTGATATCAGCAAGCCAAACCGGTGTAACCAAAGACGACGTGAATTCCATGATTAATAAAGAAATCGATGTTGATGATGAACTAACTTGACATTGTTGGTGATGAACTAACTTGATCCTGTGATGATCCCATAGATTTTGGGAGTCAAATCTAATTATGCAATGATGTATCAAGTAGAGTCAAATAGAATTACCCATTACACCAATGTGAGTCGATCAAAGCTGAAAGGGCAATCTGATAGCCCTAGCCCACAAAAGCAACCATAACAATGAATAACAGGCTATCGCACCCGCCTGACACCACCAAGTTAACCCACGATAAGGATTTGGGAAGAAGGAAACATCAATAGAAACCTGCAAAAATAAATGAAATCAAATTAGGAGTAGGAGAAGTCGAAGGGAAAGAAAAAGGTACGACCGGGATCCAGAGGGTCACTCTTATATTCCTTATCAAGTAAACCTCGACACGCAATTGAGTCGTGACTTATGCAGTTAATTGCCGGTTGTGGAGTTGAAGAAATGAGCAAGTGGGAGGTTGAAGACAAAGTGGCGTAGGTCAAGTCGTAACCGCAAAAAAAAAAACGTATAAATACTGAGTTTTAATGGCTGTGATGCAAAGTTTGAGATAACCAACGACTGTAAGGAAAGAAGCGGTTATTGACGCCCCAATGTTAGTAATATTAATAATTTTGGTAGTCCATTCCATTTATTGAGTCAACCATTTGGTCAACTCACTTTGCCAAATTGACACGTTTGCCCTTTTAACTTTTAAAATGTTAATTATTTTTCACTTCTATTTTCTTGAACTTCATGTCAACTAATGATATGATTATTCATTGATGATTTAGCTATATAAATCACCTTTCATTTATTTACTTTATTAATTTAAGAACCTAATCTTAAATTTTAGGATGTTACACAAATTGCATGAAATAACAACACACTTTACTATTTTTTTACTAATATAAGCAAAATAATTTTTTACCCATAATAGCAATGTATTTGTAATTATTTACTCTTAATAACACCGTAACCACATTTCTTTACCAATGATTGTAATATTTAGCTCATAATAGCAACATACTTAGTTTTACTTTACATATAATAACAATGCACTTATAATTCTTTAGTCATCAAAACAACATAATTACATTCTTTTACCAATAATAACAATACGTAACAAATAAAATATGATGCCCATATTAATAAATATAAGTACATTATTATTATTATTTTAAACAAAAAATAAAATACATAACGATTATCCTTAAAAAAAACATATATAGTTTATTATTAGGTACAAAGAATATACAAATATACATGAGTTCTCAATATACAGTCTTTATATTGGTAGATAGAGTAAAATACGTTGTGATTATCCGTAATTAGCCTTAAATCACTACAATTTTATTAGAAAAGCTACAAAAGATCGATATCAACTTAAATATAAATATTTAAGAATAATCGTTTTGACCAAAATTTGAAGTTGGGTTACAACTTACAAGATGCTACTAAACCCCACATACGTTTCGTGATAGCTCGAGCTTTCCTATGAAAAAGTGTCGCACCTGCCGGCGATGGCCCAGTCCCGTCGAGCCGTCGACTGCGGGAAAACGTAACTGAACAGCGCGTGCTTGTCACTCACTTTTTGAAATAAGTCTTATTTCTGGTGGTGTGGTATTGCTAAACAGCGGCATTAAAGTTGGGAATTTTACGTTACATCAAATCCTAACCATCCATCCATCTAAGTTTTCATACATTTCAAAGATCAACAAGAAAACCACTTATTAGGTTTTTGTATGCTGACACTACCACCGTAAGTCCGTACTACACCCATTTGTTCTTGAATTTGAATTGCTAGTCTCTTTGTTATTTTCATCAAAAGAACGAAAAAGATAATTTCTTTAAAAGATTCCATCTTTTGGTATTTCAAGAATCGTATACCCAACCCAATGTTAAGGTGTTTTCTTTTCCCCCTCTCGTGGGTTCTAATTGAATTGAAGGAGCAATTCTAGGGTTTTGAGATTAGGGGTTTTTCTTTCCGAAGTTGCTTTTTCTTGTGGGTCGTCTAGAATTATAAATGGAAATGGAAGAGGTTGCTGCTATTGAAGACGATAATTCAAGAAATGTCACTGGCGAAGAAGCTGTCGGCATTGTTACAGAAGGAAATCAGGCTGACATGACTGTTGCTGTGGTGATCGAAAACGATGACGGAAATGCAATTCTGGAAGCTGAAACGGATATAACCCTTGCAGAGGATGAGAAATGGGGATTGGTAAGTGAAGAAAATGGTGTTAACAGTGAGATGAAAGATGAGGTTGGTGTTAAGAAAAAGAGGAACCGGCCAAAGAAGGGTGATCGACCAGGGGCAGAGGACAGGGTGATAGTTGTTGGTCTTCATTGCGCCAGTGCTGGTGTTGATTTTTTTAACAAGAAAGGTCGACCTTCTGATTCAAAACACAATAAGAGAAAGTTTTCTTCTTTTATAGACTTTGGTTCAAAGGAGAAGAAAAGGAGGAAGCTCATACCTGGTGCTAATGGTGCTGGTATTAAAATCAGGCGTATAGGACGACCAAAGGGTTCAAAGAACAAGAAGAAAATTGCTAATGGTGATATTATGCCAGTTATGAACGGAAATATTGATGAAAACCATTCTAAAAGTATAGATGTAGGTGAGGGAGGTGAAAGCGAAAACCATGGTGTTAAGGTCAAGCATGTAGGTCGACCAAAGGGTTCAAAAAACAAGAAGAAACTTGGAGTTGATGATGACATGTCAATTATGGAGTTTGGTATTAAAATTAAGACTGATGGACGAGGTAGACCAAAGGGTTCAAAGGACAAGAAGAAGAGGCGCCGAAAACGTTTTCGAGATAATGTTGATGAACATGGCAATCCAATGGAATCAGTACCTTCTTCTTCATATGGAGGTTTCAGAAATAAGCTACAAGCGAAGAAACCACGGTTAATTGTAGCAGGTGAAATCATGGCTTATTCTTCTGATGTTGAAAACGTTAAGGCAGTGGACCCTAGTAGCCCAATAAGGCCCAAAGGAAAGCCCAGGAAATCTATTGATGGGTGCGAGGGTAATTTGAATTTGAAGTGTCATCAGTGCTTGAGGAACTTAAAAAACGTCATCTTTTGTTCAAACTGCAAAAGAAAACATTACTGCAATAACTGCATTGTAAGTTGGTATCCAGAGAGAACAAAAGAAGAAGTCAAGGATGCATGTCCATATTGTCGAGGGAATTGCAATTGCAGAGCTTGTCTTCAAGCAAATGTAATCATAAAGGTAAATACTTTATACTTCCTTCCATTAATTCATTTTTCTAAATGTTTTTGACTCCTATAATCTCATGCCCACCAACTGTTTGATGATATATCAGGCTAGTCATGAAGAAGCCAATGAAGACATCAGATTGCAAAGATCGCTTTACTTGCTCAAGAAAACTCTACCTCTTTTAAAACATATTACAGAAGAGCAAAGATCTGAGCTTTTAATGGAGGCTAGCATACTGGGTGTTGAATTAACAGAAGAACAAATACCCAAAGCTTCATTTGATGAAGATGACAGAGTCTACTGTGACAACTGCAACACATCAATTGTGAACTTCCATAGAAGCTGTCCAAGTCCAGATTGCTCTTATGATATTTGTCTCAACTGTTGTCGTGAGCTTAGAGATGGAATCCAGCCTGGCGGAAGTGAAGCTGAGTCATCATTTCAGCAATTCATTGAGAATTCACAGCTTCAGGGTACAGATTCAAAGGGACAGTTTTTTGGTTGGAAAGCTGACTTTAAAGCACACACTTTTATCAACTCATTAGACTTCCCTGCTTGGAAAGCAGAAAATGACGGTTCTGTCCCTTGTCCCCCAAAAGCCCGTGGAGGCTGTGGGAATGGAATGTTACAGTTAAGACGAGTTTTTGAAGCCAATTGGGTTCAGGAACTGGTTGAGAAGGCCGAGGGCTTAACCGTCAATTTCCAGTTGGCTGATATTGAAACTGGAGAAAACTGTTCAACTTGTAATGTGGAAAATCATCATCATCATCATGGACATGGTGTAAGGAAATCGGCTTCTAGGGAGGGTAGTAGTAATGACAACAATTTACTGTATTGCCCTGATGCTATTGACTTAGAAGACAAAGATTTTGAACATTTTCAAATGCATTGGAGAAGAGGGGAACCCGTTGTGGTTAAAAATGTCCTAAAAAAGACATGTGGACTTAGCTGGGAACCAAGGGTGATGATGCGGGCTTTTAGGAATGCTAAAAAAAAGTTAAAAGAGGAAAATCAATGTGTCAAAGCTATCGACTGTTTGGACTGGAATGAGGTAACTTTTATATCCCTATCTTTTAAGTTTTAACAAATGTTTCTACTAACTTCAAAAACAATGTTTTTTTTAGGTTGAGATTCATTTGAATCAGTTTTTTAGAGGGTATGTAGAGGGGCGTAGGCATGGAAATGAATGGCCAGAGATGTTGAAGCTTAAAGATTGGCCACCAACAAATTCATTTGATGAGTGTTTACCAAGGCATTGTGAGGAATTTATTGCAATGCTTCCATTTAGTGATTATACACATCCAAGATCTGGTCTTTTAAATCTTGCTACAAAGCTTCCGGATGGTTCTAGAAGGCCGGATTTGGGTCCTAAATCTTATATTGCTTACGGGTTTCCGGAAGAACTCGGTAGAGGCGACTCGGTTACAAAACTACACTGTGACATTTCTGATGCTGTAAGTAACATAATTTATGAATTTTTTTTTATATATCAATTCAATTGTTGGTTTTCATGAAATGAATCTGTTGTTTTTGGATCAGGTAAATATATTATTACACACAACTAAAGTAAAAGTTTCTTCCAAAGAGCTTAAAAAAATTGATGAAAAGCGAAAGGAATACAAAGCTGAAGATACGGGTCCCGTGTCAAGTATGAGTCCAGTTAAAACAGAACCACCACCAAAAGATTCATGTAATGGTGATTCTTTGTGCATAAAAAAAGAAGAAGAAGAAGAAGAAGATGTTGATGAAAGCAAGGGTTTAGTGGTCAGAGATCCAAGCATTGACCAAAATGTGAATGGAAGCAGCCAAGATTTTCAAGAAAGTGATGATGGTATTGGTGGTTGTAATATTGAATATGGTGGTGCTTTATGGGATATTTTTCGTAGGCAAGATGTACCAAAGTTGACCGAATATTTGACCAAACATCAAAAAGAATTTCGTGGCATTAACAATGCTCCTGTTAGCTCTGTGAGTATAGTATAAAAAAATCGGGTGATAAACATCAATAAATATAACAATCCAATTGAACTTTTTATTCATGCTTTAGGTTGTTCATCCTCTCCATGATCAAACCTTTTATTTTGATGAAAAGCACAAGAAACAGCTCAAGGAAGAATTTGGTAAGATAATATGAAGATTGACATTGCATATAAATTAAATTCTTTAAAAAAAAATGATGGATGATTTAACTTTTTCAGGTGTGGAGCCATGGACATTTGAACAATACCTTGGTGAAGCTGTTTTCATCCCTGCAGGTTGTCCACATCAAGTTAGAAATAGACAGGTTAGTTAGATCATGCTCAAGTCTAATTAGGGTTTGCTTCTTTTTGACCTAATGGATTAAGCACTTAATCTCATTTTCTATATAATTACAGTCATGCATTAAAGTGGCTCTTGACTTTGTGTCACCGGATAATGTTCAAGAGTGCATACGTTTAACAGAAGAGTTCAGATTACTTCCAAAAACACATAGATCCAAGGAAGATAAACTTGAGGTACATAATCAATCAATCAATCAATTAGGGTTTCTACTGATATGATACAATTAAAAAACACTAGTCTTGAATCTTGATTATAATGTTTTTGCAGGTGAAGAAGATGGGGTTATATGCTGCGAGTCTTGTTATTGATGAAGCCAGTAAATTGATGATGAAAAACAAGTAAAGTTTCTTTGATGATTTCTGTCTAAAACTAAATATCTCTTGACTTTTGTCATTGACTTATTTTACAGTTCTGAATTGCAACCTGATCCTCCAATAGAGCAAGTGAAAGAAAATTTGGAGCAAAGTGTGGAATCAATGGAAGCTGACGTGTCAAGAGAAGGTAGTTAGAAAAAAAAAAAAACAGTCGAAAATGGAACACATACAAGAAAGTTATGGTCTGTATCGATGTTGTATTTCTAATTTATGAGGTAGCATAGCATTAGTTTCTTTTAGATAGATAATCTTGTCAAGTGTTTTTTGTTTTTTTGAGAAGGTTTGAAGTTTATCTGATTTATATGAAAATAAAAACCTCACATATGAATCATGTTTAGAAGATCAAAAAAGGTCAGAGGATCGTTAATGGTTTAAATATTAAAATGCATGATGATAATAATAAACATTATCTTCAAACTAGTTTAAAGACCCCTTAATAAACTATAATATTTATATTACAGAATCACATTTGTAACATGTTGCAGGCCTCAATGTTATTAAAAACTATTTTCTTGTAGTTGAATGATTGAAATGTTTATTCGAACAAACAAATCCTTTTTCCATGGTTAATAAGTTGACTCAATTCCATTAAAAGTAAGTACTTCCGGCCAAATGAAATGCTATTAGTGTTAGATGCATGCATCTTTTAATATGCTTATTTCCCATTTTAGTATTGTGTTTTGCATCTTAATATCATGCATTTTATACCTTTTTGGACACTATGTGCACTTTGGAGGAGGGCTTACTAGGAAGCATCAAAATCGAGTTTGAGACAACAAAAAAAGAATCGAAAATTTTGAAAATTAAAAGAATGCCGATTGGCATATTTATACATTTGCCATGCAATGTTACTCATCGAAACCACATGATTGTGCAACTCAAAACTAGAAAGGGTCACAAAGATCACCATCCATGTAAACTTCAAACACTAATTTATACGAGTTGTGTTACCCTCTGAAACATTATTTGACAACTTTTCAACCAATCAAAATGAATAAAGGATATGTTTTGTCAAGGGTTCAAAAATTGGACTAAAGAAGACTGTTTTAAGAACGAGAGATTTATTTTTTAAGCATCGTAAACATTCTAATGAACATTTTCTAAATGTTGATTTGTTGTTCTGACTACAATTTGGTCTTGTAATTGGTTTTAAGTCGAGATGATCAGTTAAAACCCTAGGATTTCGACTTAAAAGTGTTTAATTTATTTTGTTTTATGTTTTTGTTTGGTAATGCATGTTTAGTGCCAATTAAACTCTTGGTTTCTTACTTAATTTGAGTTGGCCACATCTTGTAGAATTATTGTATTTTTAAAACTTGTAATGGTTAGGAATAAAAAGTCAGTAACAATAATGAATGTGATTCTTAATTAAGCTTTGTTTTCATTATAAACTTGTTTTACATGTTTGAAACCCTTGACAATTAATTTAAGGCCCTTACTTTAATAGGTTATTTAAATATTATCAGAAAAATTATACCTTTTTTTGTGTTGGTGATCCAACAAATACCCTTTCTTGCTATTTCTACAAAGATCTAAAGTTTATTTAAACAAAAAATGAAGTAAAAGCGACATCACTCTGTTTGTATCTTGAATCCGACAACGACCCATACAGATCTTTGTTATATCGTCTTAGACATTTGGTGTATTTTCTCATATACCCATTTCTTGAAGAATTCCCAAAACACCGATAACTTTCCTTCAAAATCCAATCACTTTTCCTGTTTACAGGCTTTCGTCAACAGCCATGGCTGCTGTTGCTGCTCTGAGATCGAAGTCATCCAAAGCCACATCTTCTTTATCATCAGTCTCACAATTTAGATACTTTATTTCAACTCACCGTATGCACGGTGGTCGTATACCCAATTTCCAAATCACTTCTTCAATACCTACAACAAACAAATTAGACGAATATTTCCCTCATCATCACCACCAACACCAATCTTTCAAACCGTTTTCCCTCTCCGGTGAACTTGTTGATAAGGGTTTCGGTTTTTTCAAGAGTAATAATAAAAGGAGACTAGTCAATTTGTCCGGTGGTAAAGGTAGTGGTGGTTGCGGTGATCCGCCAGAGGTTTGGCAGCCTCCCGGAGATGGGATTGTTCCTCAGCCGGGTTTTAAGATGGTTCCGGTATCCAGCGGTGATGACAGTGAAACAAGCACCGGTGGGTTCGGGTCGGGTTCTGGAGATGGGAATTGGGGAGGATCTTCGTTGGGGCATAGCTTCCCAACACCTAAAGAGATCTGTAAAGGGCTTGATAAGTTTGTGATTGGTCAAGAACGAGCTAAAAAGGTACTTGCAGTGGCTGTTTACAATCATTACAAGAGAATCTCTATTGACAGTTCGCGTAAGTAAGCACCTTACTCCCTCTGTCTAATTCCATTTTCTTGTTTTTATGGTATTTGATTCATTGAAGGCCTGCTGCAGGACATTCAAGAAACGACAAGACGAATGCCATGGATGATGATGATGCAGTTGAGCTTGAGAAAAGTAATATCCTTCTAATGGGGCCAACTGGTTCAGGTAATCCTTTTCTTCTTTAATCCTCCACCATGGTTGAATATTGATTGAAGCTGCGTGGATATGGCTTTTTCTGTTATTATCTGCAATTATGTAAGCCTTTATGATTGTTTTGAGAATAGGGAAGACACTTCTTGCAAAAACACTGGCACGCTTAGTGAATGTTCCTTTTGTTATAGCAGATGCTACTACACTCACCCAGGCATGTTTCTATTTTTTGTTTTTTAATATGTTATAATCTTTGGGAATTGGGAATGAGATGCTCAAATTTCTAGCAATTTGCAGGCAGGCTATGTTGGAGAAGATGTGGAATCCATTTTATACAAACTCCTGACTGTATGTCCCTTAATAGTAATACCTTCAATTTCTACACTTGTATAATACTTTTTTTTTTATCTGATCATAACATTTAATTTCAGGTTGCTGATTATAATGTTGCAGCAGCTCAACAGGGCATTGTGTATATAGATGAAGTTGACAAGATTACAAAGAAGGTTTAGTTTCTTCACCTTTCAATTTCAAGCTTATCATAATGTTGAATTTTATAATATTGTTTCTTAATTTGTTGTTTTGACAGGCTGAAAGTGTTAACATTAGCAGAGATGTTTCTGGTGAGGGTGTCCAGCAGGCATTATTAAAGATGCTAGAAGGGACTGTACGTTCTTGTTATTCCTTATATCAAATTATATACTATTAGTTTTATTATGTCAGAAAAAAAAGGAAATTTTTTAAATTTTATTAGTGTTGACCTTTATCCAGATAGTCAATGTCCCTGAAAAGGGTGCACGGAAACATCCTAGAGGAGACAACATTCAGGTAAAAAATATAAAATAAATCTTTCTAGTCTTTAATTTACTAAACCAAATTATGAATTTTTTGATACTTATCTATAAGAATATTTGTTACAGATTGATACCAAAGACATCCTGTTTATTTGTGGGGGTGCCTTTATAGATCTTGAAAAAACCATTTCAGAAAGGTATCTATCATTTACTTATTAATCACTCTTTGGTGTTCATAGATATTATAAATATATAATATAATGGATTATTTTTATTTTCAGACGCCAAGATTCTTCTATTGGGTTTTGGTGCACCTGTTCGTGCTAACATGAGAACTGGAGGTGTTACATCTGCTTCAGTGACTTCAACTTTATTGGAGACTGTAAATCCCTACTCTTTTTTCTTTCTTCCATTAAGTGTATGTATGTGTCTGAATAAATTGTGTGGTTTATGTTTGTTAGGTTGAAAGTAGTGATCTTATTGCATATGGTCTGATACCTGAATTTGTTGGAAGGTTTCCAATTCTTGTCAACTTATTAGCTCTTACAGAGCCTCAACTTGTTCAGGTACCTTTGTAGGCATTAATTAACTTACTTTTTGGTAGGTGTGTTTCTTTTTGTTAAAGTAAAGTGGATGAATATATAATATTAATGTTTTGTAGGTGCTAACTGAGCCAAAGAATGCATTGGGGAAACAGTACAAGAAGTTATTTCAGATGAATCAAGTAAGTCTTCTTTCATCTCTCAACACATTTACTAATGTTTATATGTTAGTTGTAATTGTTTATTATTTTTTGCAGGTTAACCTACATTATACAGAAAGTGCTTTGAGATTAATTGCAAGAAAAGCAATAACTAAGAACACTGGGGCCCGTGGTTTGAGGGCCTTATTGGAAAACATATTGATGGATGCCATGTATGAGGTTTGTGTCTAAAAGATTTATTATTATTTTTGTAATGAAATGATAGAATGATAATTTATGAATGTATTGCAGATTCCTGATGAAAGAACAGGTAAAGATATAATAGATGGTGTGGTTGTTGATGAGGAGGCAGTTGGGAGTGGTGCTAAAATCCTCCATGGTCAAGGTGCTCTTGCCCATTATCTATCACAACATTTACAGGTAACTAACTTAAAAGGCTACATCCTGTTTTTGATTTTTGATTAATTAATTTTACTATAAAAAGATTTACGGTTGTATTTTGTCTTTGCAGACGAGCGTAGATAGGGCGGCAGATGGTGGAGCCGAGGCGGAGATGGAGGCGGAGGCGGAGTTGCCTTCTATTGCTGCCATGTAAATCATGGGAAAGATTGTATCGGTAACCATGTGTATGTATAGATAATATGTACTAATTTAAGCTCTAATGAGAAACATTAATTTAATAATTAAATTTATGTTGGATGCTTTCATCATTATTGCAATCAAATGTCAATATGTTGTAGTATCATTTATTCTCCTCCCTACATACGGTACTTGATGTACACCCTGTCATAGTAGTTCTGATAATTTTAATTTTAATATCTCATAAAAGCTACATGTTTATTTCTTCCTTTTTATGATTTAAATCTTGTTCTTTACTGGCGAAAATCTATCATTCTGATTGTAACTTGAAATCAAGCATGGGGGAGGATCTACCCCGACCAAAATAATGAGTAAAAACCATAAACACAAGTTTAAGTTATGAGATGTTGGTGATCTGTCGTCTGATCACTTTGGTGGAGTGCCAAAGAGATTTAGACTGTAGACAGTGATCTGATAATACAAATATGTTGGTGCAAAGTGCAAGTATAATAGAAAAACACCTTGACAAGTTACAGATTAGCATACAAGGAAGGGGTGACTTGTGGGTTTTGTTTTGTCATAGAGTTGAGTTGGGGCCCGGCCTACTTTGATCAACTTGGGGTTGACTTATCGGTTCAAGATTAAGCCAACTAGTCAGTTTGATGTCTTCAAAACTACATGCAACCTTTTGGAACCCTCATCTTTATTTATTTTCTGGATAGTATAAGTATGATGCATTTTGATATTGAACTATACCAATACAACAAACATGGTATATTGCATATTCCTTTGTGCGTGCCTAGGATTATCCTGCAAAATTGTTTGTGGTAACCTAAACATAGAGTTAATTTTTTATGAAATAGAATACAATATTATAAAGAATAGAAATGTATTACTATTTATTTTTATATTTAATCTAATTGGGGATAATACCAGAGGTGTTGAAGTTAGTAATATTTTGTGTCCCGTGTGTTTGGAATACCCAGAGGTCATTGATCATGTGTTGTGGAAGTGTGCCACTTTGGGTTTAGTTTGGGAGAAGGTCTTTGCTTAGTTAGATTTTGAAGTCCCTTTGATGGGAATGTTAGGTGATGTGTTTGAACGGATTGAGGAGTTACATATACGACCCTTAAAAAGGAAGTGTTAGAAGCTATTACATGTGTGGTGATTTGGGTCCTATGCCGATTCATGAATGATTCTGTTTTTAGCGTTTCTCACCTGGTGAAAGATAGACTTTTTGATAGTGTTAGTGGAGTATTCGTTTTTTTGGATTGTTAGTAGGAACAAAAAAGTGTTGGTTAGTTGGAGTCTTTTGGCTCCAAAATCCTCTTTTAGATAGTTCCTTATAAATGATGTGTTTTGTTAGCTGCTAGTTTGTTTATAATAATTATTTAGCTGCTTAAAAAAACATATATATTTTTGAATATGAGATAATGGGTGAAAGAAGGATGGAGATGGAGGTATTTAGCTATGAGACGCATACCCAGGAATTTTGATGCTTATACACCAAGGATTTGTTGATGGTGCCAACCTAACACTACCCTCAATCCACTCATCATTCTCTTTTTGCTTTATAAACTTAGGCAAACCATATGCTTTATTATCTTTTTCTTTTTGCTTCTTGATTAATCTTAATAATTTATTTTAAATGTGTCGGATAGATAATATAATCTCAACTTTCTTATTCTATTTGGAATATCCTCCTACAATGTTCTCCTACTTATCTTCCTACCCATGTTAAATAGTGACAAGTAGATTAAAAATATTATTAAGAAAAATTAAATATGACACATGTCATCATTTGAAATGGGTAGGAAGATGGTAGAAAGAAATTGTATGAGGATATTTAATTTCTCGAAAAGAGTTTTAAATGTCCAAATGAACCATCATTTCCATTTATTTTATGTCATCAATAAAGATGTATTTAAGCATATATAGTTGAATACTCTGTTTAATTTTGTCTTGAGATATTTGAAGCAAAAATCCTATCTTCTTTATAATATTATGAACATTCTTATAATGTTTATGACTTTGATGAATATTTCTGGCAAAAATCTTGATTTGTTTAGAGTTAAACAAGGAGTATTACAATATTAGATGTGTAAACAAGGAGTATTATAATAGCTAAGTCAAATAGCGAAATATATGTTATTACTTTGACTAAAATTTATTTTCAATAACAGTTCAATTTTATTTTCTATCGGAACCAGGATATATATACACTGCCGTGTAATTTTCTAATATTAGATTTTTTTATAGCTTTAATCTTTTATTATAATAAATATCGAGTAAAACAAAACTTGAAGCAACCCCCTTTTATATAAAATTTTGACGTAGTTTATTTGATAAAGAAATGGTTCTAGAGTAGCTTTTGTCTTATTTTAATATTAATCTTGGTTTATACGTAATAAAAGTAGCATCCTTTTTCATAAAACATAAAACAAATAATACTATAATGGAATATATAATCTTAAAAAGTAACTAACTATTTATTATAAATAATTAAAGAAAAAAAACCTTAAATATCTATAAAAACATAAATCAATCTATTGAACTTTTTATATCATCAAATAAAAAAATAAAAAAACAAAACTCTAATTAGACCAGATAAATAATATAAGCCGTCGTTTCATTGAATCTGAATGAGTTCAAAAAAATTCAACGGCGATGCTTACACCTCTCGTCCTATGGGTATAATAATAATAATACTCATACAGATACAAAGAGAAAGAGAGAGAAATACAGGGGGGTTGGGGTTGTGGTTGGGGTTGGGGTTGGGTTGACAGAGAGAAGAAAAGAACCTCTTTCTTACAGAGACAGAGAAAAAGGTGTTTGGTTTGGTTCATTCCATAAATCGATCTGTTCATCACTTTTCTGTTGGAGCCGTCTTCGCCCTTTTTCGCATTTTCTTCAAATCAGAAGTTGTGACAGTTATGGAGATCAGAAGACAGAGTTTGAATCCTTATTTGGATTATTGATTTCAAAAGATTGGGTGTTCAATTTGGATTTGTCAATCAAGAACAAGGGCTATCTATGGATTTGGATAATATAGAGTGCGTGTCTTCTTCGGATGGAATGGAAGACGAAGAGATCCACACCCACCAGTTCTCTTCAAAACCTCACAATAATAATAATAACATCGGAATACTACCCTCTGGATTGACTCCCGCTACAAGCGTTCATGAATTGTTGGAGTGCCCTGTTTGTACTAATTCTATGTACCCTCCAATTCACCAGGTTTTGTAATCGATTCCCTTTTTTTCATCCCGTCTAATCGTTATTTCTTGTTGATTTAGTGTATCGTGTTTGATTTGATTGATTGATTGAGAATAAATAGGGCAATTTCATTTTCAACTTTGATACCATACTGGATTGGATTACAGTTTGTCTGATTTCTCTTAAGAAAATGGATTGAAATTCTGCGATTCAGATTTGAAATTGTACACGTAGTAATACGGATTTGGGATTCTAATAAAATTATGATTAGTGGATTGATTTGTTGATTTTAGAGGAACAAGAACAATTTTGAATTATAGTTTGGTTTTTTTTTTTGTGTTGATAGAATTATTACAAAGAGTTGTTGAAGTTGGTTGTTTACATTTATACAGTGTCACAATGGACACACATTATGCTCGACCTGTAAAACAAGGGTACACAACAGATGTCCTACATGCAGACAAGAACTGGGTGATATCAGATGCTTAGCTTTGGAAAAAGTTGCAGAATCACTGGAACTTCCCTGCAGATATTTTTCATTGGGATGCCCAGAAATTTTCCCATATTACAGCAAACTAAAGCATGAAGCTTTATGCAACTTCAGACCCTACAACTGCCCATACGCCGGATCTGAATGTTCAGTCACCGGAGACATTCCTTTTCTGGTCACCCATCTCCGAGACGACCACAAAGTCGACATGCACACAGGCTGTACTTTTAACCACCGTTATGTCAAATCCAACCCCCGTGAAGTTGAAAACGCTACCTGGATGCTAACAGTGAGTTCACTTCACTTTTCCCCTGATTTCTGATTTCCGATTTTAGGGTTTTCTCTTTAATGGGTAATGTAATGTTTGGCAGGTGTTCCATTGTTTTGGGCAGTACTTCTGTCTTCACTTTGAAGCGTTTCAGCTAGGGATGGCACCTGTTTACATGGCGTTTCTTCGATTCATGGGGGATGAAGCAGATGCCAGGAATTACAGCTACAGTTTAGAGGTCGGAGCCAACGGGAGGAAGCTAATTTGGGAAGGAACACCGAGGAGTATCAGAGATAGCCATAGGAAGGTAAGGGATAGTCATGATGGGTTGATTATACAGAGAAACATGGCGCTCTTCTTCTCCGGTGGTGACAGGAAAGAACTCAAACTTAGGGTTACAGGGAAGATATGGAAAGAACAACAGAATCTGGAAACTGGGGTTTGTATTCCTAATCTGTGTAGCTGAGATTTAGGGTTTAATCTCCTTTTCTTTTCTTCCTTTCAATGTGTTTGATGAATGAATGAATGAATGAATGATTCTTCTCTCGTTGCATGTGTTATACTTCAGATTTCTGGTGTACGTAAGATTCAGGTTGTTATAGCTATTCAATTTCTTCATCTTGTTTATTCAAAGGGTAAATTGCTTAAGATAGAGTTTACAAAATTTTTGATTTCGACTGTGTTTTACAATGTTGTTCCAAATTCTCTCTATTACCCGATTGTCGTGTATCCCCTTTTGCCGAACAAGCGTGCCATTTACTCCCTTTGCTCTAATTGCGCCACATCATTGACACATGGTTGAAACTTGAAACATTCGGGTGTTTGGTTTATCTTTTTTAGAGGTAAAAGTCCTTTTTGAAAAAGATAAAATGTAAAAGATGTTTGGTAAAAGGATTTTAAAATCTACTTTTAGATTTTTGATATAAGAAAAACTGACTTTTTGGAAAAGTCAGAAAAACCTGACTTTATGTCACTTTTCCAAAAAGGACTTTTGCCTATAAAAAAGATAAGCCACACACCCCAACATTCTCTTTAAAGACGATCCAAGTTGGACATGGATCGAAGTTTGCTATAACAACCTGAATCTTTTAAAAAGCACTAATGGAGTTGTCAGAGTTGTGGTCTGCATAACTTTTCTATTTTCTTCCAAAGTGTTCTCTCACGAAGCAAAGAAAACAAGAAATCTACAAAATCTTTTTTTCCTCGCTTCAAAGTTCTCCTTCCATAATGTTCTCTTATCGAGAGAAATTGCAACCAAAACACTACTTGCGGCAAGAAACAAGGTTG